GGCATGTGGTGCTGGGGGATCGAACTGCGGTCCCTGATGCTTTGCTAAGCTTGTTCCAAGTAGGTGCTTTAGACCACTGAGCCATCTCTCCAGCCCCGGGACTTTCATTTTTTAAAGAAGATAAAAAATAGTAAAAGCAAAACCCCAAAACATTAGAAATGATGACTCAGAGACCAGGTGTGGTGGCACAAGCCTGTAATACCAGCATTCAGGATCCTGAGGCAGGAGGATCGCTGCGAGTTCGAGCGCAGCCTGGGCTACAAAGTAGGCTCAAGGCCAGCCTAAACTGTGTAGGGAGACCCTTTCTCAAGAAGACCCCCCCTCCTCAAGGGCTTTCAGGCCTGCTTCACAAAGTGTCAAGAACAGTAAGATAAGTATAATCAAAGCAAGTAGGAATATTATGAGATAGATTAATGGCACTGTTTTTTGTTAGAATGGCTTAAAAAATTTAAACCATGTATTTTTATTACTGCTTGTCTAAATGTAAGTGTATATATACTCTGTGTATGTATATGTACATATCTGTATATGGAGAGGGAGGCAGAGAATTGTTTGCTTTTCAGACTCCTGTGTTCATGCTGGACATGGGGGTGCCACATGTAATTCTAGCACTCAGCAGGTGGGGGAAGTGTGTCGCTATGAGTCTGAGGCCAGCCCCGGCTACATAGTGAGTTTAAGGCCAGCCTGAACTATGTAGTGAGACACTGTCTCAAAAAAGAAATTCTGGGCTGGGGAGATAGCTCAGTGGAATAAGTGCTAAGGTCCTGAGTTTGATCCCTGGTACCACAAAAAAAAAAAAAAAAAAAAAAAAAAAAAAAAAATTCCTATGTTCAGTGAGGTTGAAATAAGTGAACATTCTAGTATTTTTTTCATTTATTTATATTTTATTTATTTTATGTATTTGGTATAGGGTCTTACTATGCAGCTTGGCCTCGTAGTGGTCCTCCTGTGTTCAGCCTCCCTGGCATTGGGATTATAGGCGTGCGCCACCACATGGTGGGTGGCATAGTGCACCCGGGGTCGGGGCTGGTGCGGCATGTGGTGCCACTGACCGAACCCTGGCCCCTGTGCTTGCCTAAGCAGGTGTTTAGTCTGCTGAGCTATCTCACCGGCCCTGGTTCTTTTTTTTTTTTTTTTTAACATTCTATTTCTGATTGGAGATGTGAGAGATTGTGATTAGGTGACAACAGATGCCTTAAACATTTTTTTTAGGTCTTGTTTAGTAATGGTAAATTTTCTTCTGGTGCAGGTAACTGTCTCTTTGGATCTAACAGTATCACTATCATTTTCATTTGTAGATGGATTCTGACTAGGAATTACAAGGCTCTTGCCAAAGGAACAAGAGGGAGCACATCTGGTTTCTTAAATATTGTGATGGAACTAAAAAAGTGTTGCAACCACTGCTACCTAATTAAGCCTCCTGAAGAAAATGAAAGGGAAAATGGACAGGAGATTCTTCTGGTGTGTAGTGGTTTTTGTTCCTAATTATGTAATTGGAAACAATTTTGCTTCTTTAAACGGTATTATCAAAATGCTCATTTACCTCCTTAATGGCCTTTCAAGGTACAGTAGAAGAAACTTTAAGAACAGAGTACAAAAGTTAAACAACTAGGAAAAAATCTGGAGAGTACCATATTATAGCTACTACTTGAACAGAACATCAAGCAAGTATGTGTTTGAACATAGTTAGAATGTCTTTTAAATCTCCAGTCGCTGATCAGGAGCAGTGGGAAGCTGATTCTGCTGGACAAGCTGTTGACGAGACTTCGCGAAAGGGGGAACAGAGTCCTCATCTTCTCTCAGATGGTGCGAATGTTGGATGTCCTGGCCGAGTACCTGACTATTAAGCACTATCCTTTCCAGGTAACCAGGCTCACACAGTATCTCCGTCTGTCTTTGTTTCTCTTGTTCTGTCTGTGTGTGTGTGTGCACGTGTCTGTGTGTGTGTGTGTGTGTGTGTGTGTGTGTGTGTGGTCTCTCTTGAATTGTTAAGTATAAAAAAATTAGGGCTTTTTTTTTCTTGAGAAACATTGAGATTGAAGGTCCATGAGTTTCTCCGTGTTTTATTTTTATGCCTTTAGGCTGCTCTGTAATGAAAAAGGTCATGTCAAAATCATTCCTTTTCTTAGGTCAGGGTGAAGGGGATTAATTGGGTATGAGAAAAGATGGCTCTTACGTCTTTGAGTCTGTGCTAGAAGTAGAGCAGAATGATTCAGAAGTCCAAATCATAGAAAATAAAAGACAGGTGACAGGTGACAGGCGGTACATTTACTCCAAAGGAAGTTGACATTGGTGTGACCCTGGGAACACAAGGACAGGGTATGCACACCCTTGCTGGGTCCCAGGCCATTGGCGATGGCTTCCTCCTATGCGGTGCCTTTTGATTTTTTTTTTGTTTGTCATTACTTCTTTGGACAGAATCTCACAGGGTCTTGTGGGCTGGCCTTATGTAGCTCAGGCTGGCTGCAAACTCATGTCAGTCTTCCTGCCTCTTCTTCCCGAGTGCTGGGATTATAGGCAAGCGCCCCCATGCCTGGCTGTGCTGATTTTCATCTTTACTCTGTAGTGTCCCGTGGGAAAGTATTCCTTATTTATTTATTTATTTATTTATTTATTTGTGGGGGGGGCAGCTCAGCCCACCAGGGGGCGGGGCTGGCTGGCATGTGGTGCTGGGGGATGGAACCACGGTCCCTGTGCTTTGACTAAGCTTGTTCTAAGTAGGTGCTTTAGACCACTGAGCCATTCTTCAGCACACTCTTCTAGGTGTCTGTGAGAAGTTTGCCGGTGGTCTATTTATAAACATGCAGACACATGTATTATTTACTGTTCTCCAGCCTTTTTTATTATTTATTTATTTATTTATTTATTTATTTATTTTTAACAATGTCACTCTTATTTATTTATTTATTTATTGTGGAACCGGGGATTGAACTCAGGCCCTTGCACTTGTCAGAGAAGCACTTACTCTACTGAGCCATCTCCCCACCACTGAGCCATCTCCCCGCCCAGCCTTTTTTTATTTTGAGACAGGATTCCAGTAAGTCACTAATTTGTCTAGGCCTGGCTCAAACTTGAGATCCTCCTTCCCCAGCCTCCCATACTGATGGGATTAATGCCATGTGCCACCTTGCCTATCATGGCATCATTTAGATTGCGTTAGTTACTAAGGTTTTTTTTTAAAGAAAAGAACTTTTTTCAAGGATGAACTATTCTACCAGCTCACATAATCACACAGGTATTGAAGAAACTCATTGTTTACCTCCTAGGAGGCCCAGCTATAAGATTAACAAACAGTTTGTCTCTCTGGGATGCCCTGAAAGCCAGCAGCATTATACGTGTAATAACTTGTGTGGCCTTTAGTAACTATCTGACTAGGTAGTTTAATGCTCACTTGTGGCTGCTGTACATAAAAAGACAGTGCAGTGCAGAAAGGTGAATATTTCTCAGCGTGTTCGATCCCCAAGAGCTTTCATTTCCAGGTAATCATGTGATGTCTGGTCAGTCAGGAATGCATTGTTCTTCTCTGGGGAATAACTAGGCTAGGGTCTTCTAAGTCTTTTAGTGTCTTGTACTTACGGGACTATTTGAAGGAGGGCATTTAGGATTTCTGATTTTATATGTAGCTCATGAATTTGCCACTTACAAAGTATCTTTGGTTCAAGGCTAGTCAGTTCCCATGAGAGCCGACCTGAGTTTGGGTGACTGTATGGCCAGGGCAGAGCTCTGGGGAGATGTAGGTCTGCCGGCAGCCCCTGGGCACCTCTCAGGTCAGTTTTGCCCAGTGTGAAGTGAATTAGTTTCATCTCAAGTATTGGTGTAGAAAGAGAAAATGAGTGGTAAGAATAGTGAGGAATGCTTTATGTACATTATATAGGAATAATTCTCTAGTAGTTGTTTGATGTATCATATGGTCTCACTCTGGCACCATGGTTTTGTGCCCCAAGTGGACGTATGCTCCGAGAAAATGATTTATGTCCTGGAGAATGTCAGGTGCCTTCTTGAACTGATGTGGTTCAGTTTTGGAACACTTTACTCTCATTTTAGAGCAATTTTTAGAAAGCTGGTATAAATCAGTTTTAACATTTCCATTGTTTTAGGAAAATATTTTTGAACCAAATTTATGTAAATTGTTGAGTTTATGTAGTTTAATGGAGGTATTTTTAGCCTACTACCTGAGAAGCATCATTTTTCTACAGGAGCTAGTTTACTAGGTACTCAGTGGTACTATTTTGTAATGGCTCCAAGACTTACACATAGAGAAGTAAAGTGAATCTCTGAGCACAGTCTGGGTTTTCATCCTTTTCCTGGTAGATCCTGGCAGCCTTTCTGATCCTCAGATCACCCAGACAGCACTCTGGATCGGAAGCCTATGACCTTGAGCATGTAACTGAAGAGCTTGGGTCACGCAGGCTGCCCCTGCGTACGTACAGTCCCTTCTCAGCACTTGGCCAGTGTGTCCTGGTTATTTTTACTCAGAGGGTGTTTGGGTGATAAAGGTTGCAATTCTAGTGTTCTATTCTGAGTGTCACTGATCCTCCTTGCCTTATGATTTTCTTGTTTATTTTTCCAGCGTTTAGATGGCTCCATCAAGGGAGAAATCCGCAAACAGGCACTGGATCACTTTAATGCTGATGGGTCTGAGGTACAGTATGCATGGCTTTGTTATTTGGATGCCTTGGGGCTGTATCAAGGGCAAAGGCTTTCCAACTTAGTTCATTGTGTTTCAGAAACATTTTGTAGTGTATTTCTCTTGTCCTAAAAAGAGTGACAAATCTGTACTATAAAACCCCTCTATTTCATCATCATCCCTTAAAAGTATGTGAATGTTTAGCTTGCTTGGCCTAACTTAATGACAGTAGTAGTTCTGTATTGGCTTCAGGATAAATTTATGGACTTAGGGTCAGCAGTAGGATTCATTTCTACATGTAGATCGGAAGTTCCCCTTCTGTACTTTCCGGTGGCTGTAGCTTGAGCAGGATGTCTCATGCTTGTGTGTCCCACTTGTGTTTGGCAGTTACTTTGTTTTGGGTGCATATATGTTAAGAGTTACCTGTAGTGAAAGAGACATTCTGTTTAGTGCGTATGGAATAATTAAGTGGAACAGGATATGAGAGAAATGGGGCAGAGATAGATGCCTTAGGGTAATTAAAACTATAGGCATTTGTACAGGTAAAGGAAGTGGTGGGAACAACCCAAAAGTAGAACAAGAAGTGTTTTTAGAGATTTTTTTTTTTAGAGATTGTTAAATTATGAAGCCTGGATTCCCCTTTTTCCTCCTCCTCCTCTTCCTCCTCCTTCTTCCTCTCCTTTAAAAAACAAACAAACAAAAAAAATAAATTTAGGGTTCTTTTTGAAAATTTTGAGACTGCATTTTTTGGGGGACAGAGCTTCCCTATGTAGTTTTTTTTTTTTTTTTCCTTGCAGAACCGGGGATTGAACTCAGGCCTTTGCACTTGCCAGGGAAGCGCTTATTCCACTGAGCCATCTCCCCAGACCCCTATGTAGTTTAGGTTGGCCTGAGTTCGTTATGTAGTTGGCTCAGACTCCCAGCAGTCCTCCTGTGTCAGCCTTCCGCGTGCTGGGATTATGCATGTGCGCCACCTACACCCCACTAAAACTTCTTGGTGTCTCCTCCTTTACCGCAGAATGATATCCCTTCTGCCTCTAATTTACAGATCTAGTTAGACTCTGTAAACTTTAGGCTTTTTTAAGCCTAAAATTTTAGTTCTTTTGAGGAGCTTGGACACTAATCTGTTTAGGACCTATACGCTGACTCATTGCTGAATGAGTAATTGAGTTATTAAACCTGTTGGTCATCACCCAGTTCTCATCCTTCTTGTCTCTTCCCTGAAAATTATAGTTTCTAGAACTTTATAATATTGCGATAACAATCAAATTTATTACTAGACATAAAGCATTGATTATTTCCTGGCCCATAATGAGCATTCAAAAAATGTCAGCTATATTATATGTTAGTATATAGTCTTTGTTGAACTTGATTTTGTGTTCCCTACTCTTTTTTTAATTCTTTTTTTTTTTTTTTTTTTTTTTTCACATGTTTCCCACCCTTAAAAGATGTTGTGGGTTGAATGTTACTTAGTGTCCTTTCTCAAAAAGAAAATGGCCTTTTTTTTTTTTTGCCTAGTTCTGTGTTAGTGTCCCTCTCTCATGGCTGTACATAAAGTAGAGGCTGTCTTTGGGGTGAGGGGTTGTACCGTTTTTCTTCTTGGTGCTGTTCATTATCTTTTGAAGTTGCTAATGAGAGTACAGTAATTCTAATGAATATTTAACATTGAATTTAAAAACATCTACAGAACTACTATTTCATCCTGTTTACCTAATTAGGATCATGCTGAATATAGTTTTTTTGGTCATATTTTATTCAAAATTATACAAACTCTCTATATATGTATATACAAAATAGGATAGATATACAGCTACTTTTAATTCAGTGAGAAGAAAGATTTGTACTAATAGTCTTTAGACAGGATATCATGTCTGCATCTTGTACTCTGAATAACTACTATGAAGACAACAATATGCAATGTATTAATTATTGTAACTGACCCACTAACCTGATTTAAAATTGTCTCATTGCTATTTGTTTCTCAATACAATTAATAAAAAAAATTAAATTTAAAAAATTATACTGAGGGCCCGGCCAAATAGCTCAGCAGATTAAAGCTCCTGCAAGCAGGCGCAGGAGCCGGGGATTCGATCCCTGGGCCTGCCATGCCGCCCTGCCCCTGGGGTGTGCTGAGGGCAGTTGAGTTGTGGTGTGGTGGCTTGCGCCTGTAGTCCCAGCTCTTGGGAGGCTGTAAACAGGCAGGTCACTAGGAGTCTGATCTAATAGTGAGACCCTGAACACCCTGTAGATCCTTCCCTAAAATACCCAACCCCCCCATATATATTATATGTATATATGTATATAATATACATATATATGTATATTTTATATATACATATTTTTTCAGATCATTTTCCAATGTCATTAAAGAATTACAAAATTCTAATTTATTCTAATTCTAATTTATGTGGTACCATTATTTAGCCATTTATTTATTTATTTATGGGGGGGCCGCTCAGCCCACCAGGGTGCGGGGCTGGCTGGCATGTGGTGCTGGGGGATTGAACCGCGGTCCCTGTGCTTTGCTAAGCTTGTTCTAAGTAGGTGCTTTAGACCACTGAGCCATCTCACCAGCCCCTCTTTAGCCATCTTTTTGTTAGCTGTAGTTAATAAAAGGCAACAGACATTTAAAAAGTTTTGATATGTTTTGTTAAATTACTTTTCTAAAACAGTTTATATTCATGTTGTTTTTGTATAAATATTTTCACTTTTCTTAGAAACACTTTCATAATTTTTAACTTTCATCAGTTTGATCATGGACAACACATTGTAATTTATGTAATCTTTGACAAAGCACATTATAAACTATGATTATTCAGACACTAGGTTTCACTTAGTTTTTGACATATCACATCCTAAACTGTAGTCTGTTTGTCTCGGCTTGTCTTCAGGGGCTTCCCCTGGAGAAGCGTTGTCTCTGCCTACTTGTACCTCCTGATTATTTTTATTGAAACTGTTCATAACTGTTCATAACTTCTTTCAAGACAGTGCAGTCCCTTTCTGTGTCTGTGGCCTGACGCTGTTGAGTGACTGTGGGCTAGAGCATGGACATCTTTCCGTTGGGTACAATGTTAATTACGCCCATTTTTCAAGTGGTAACCAGGAGTTACCAGTTGTTCACTGCTGCTTTTGATATATAAGATCAAGTTCCCTGAAAATGGAATATTTGTTGTTTTCTCCCTTGGCTTACACAGTTCAGTCTTTCCCTCTGCACACCTATTTTTTGAGTGTTCAGGTGTGACAGGTGTCCTGTACGTGCTCATCTTTATCATCATTGTTTTTAGAAAGTGGAAGATGCCAGTGTCTGGGACTTTCCCACACCTTGCTTTTGTGCAAACAAACCAAGGGTTTCTCTTTGTGTGTTTTGTGAAGATCGAAGATTCTGTACTCCTCAGCATTTCCAGTGTCTGATCTGTTTATTGCAGAATTTCTATGTTCCTTATCAGACTAGCAAATCGATGAGTATTTCCTCACACTAGTTGCCTAATATGGTGCGGTCTGCCTTTTCTCCAAAAAGTGTCTCTGCGTAATTTCTTGGTGCAAGTCACAGTAATTGAACTTGTCTGGTTTTTGTGTTTGCTTCTTTTTTGCCGTTTTTTAGCCAAGAGATACTTCTTGTTCTCACTCCCACTGTCTTCTTACATGCTACTTTACCCCTTTTGTTCACTGTACTGACTCTTAATTAAATGAAAATGTCCTCTTTCATCAAGTCCCTGGCCTGTGGCCTTCATGAAGTTTGGCACATCTCACTTCTGTTTGCATCCGCAGGGGTTTCCAGGTTTAAGGGCTTATTGGACTGTGAAACTGTTTCTGGGAAGGCCACTGCATAAAGTAGTGTATTGCATTATGTACAGGACTTCTGTTTCCTGCTCTCGACAAGGGCTGGTGGCCTGGGAATCAACTTGGCATCAGCGGACACAGTTGTCATCTTTGACTCTGACTGGAACCCCCAGAACGACTTGCAGGCCCAAGCTCGGGCCCATAGAATTGGTCAGAAGAAGCAGGTTGGTGGGAAGAGCTACTGAATATGGCTTTGGATGTAGAGTAACAGAGGTTGGTTGTCCCTTCCAGAATGTCTGTGAGATGCTTATCCCTGCCTCCCGCACACAGCTTTACTTCCATTTCCCCGAAGTGTTGGTTTCTATTTATTGATTTCTAGTACACAAAAGAGAAAATGTCTTTGGGCCAAAGATGAATATACTAAAGACTTAAGAAAGGCCTTACAATTGGACCTTTTCTTAGAAATTTGCTAAATAGTCTTATTGTGGGTCAAAATGATCTGTTCTCATATGCAGTAGTACTGACTCACAGGGACATTGGAAAGCCGTGTGCTTTTCCTGTGTGTGAGTCTCCACTGTCTGCTCTAGTATTGGCCAAGTGGTAATGATCATATATGGCCAGTGGTTCAGTTTCTTTAAAACTTTGCTTTAATGAAACTGTTTTTAGCAAGACTTTGGTCATCAGAGCAGCAGTAAACTGAAGCAGGCAGCTCTTCAGAAATTGTTTACTTAGTGATGTCCCTGCTGTGGATGTCATCACACTGCATTAACTAAGCTGCTCACTTGGATGGCAGGCTCGTTTGCAGCAGTAGACAGCAAATCTTTTTTTCTTTTACCCTCTTGATTTGTGGCAGAGGTAATTTTTTCCTTTGATCAGTCATAGTGTTTCATTTTCCCATAGGTAAATATTTACCGCTTGGTTACGAAAGGGACCGTGGAGGAGGAAATCATAGAACGAGCCAAAAAGAAGATGGTATTAGACCACCTGGTGATTCAGCGCATGGACACCACTGGCCGGACAGTCCTGGAAAACAACTCTGGAAGGTCCAAGTAAGTACCAGGAAGCTTGGGGAGGCAGGCAGAAGCAAATGGATTTTATGTGAAAATTTGCTGTAGTTGTGACAGGATTTTCTACCATGGACGTTTTTATCCTGTTTATTACCTGACAAAGGCCAGGTCATATGCCAAGAAGGATAGTATTTTCATTTTCTACCGTTTTCCCTGTACTTTTTTCCCCATCTGCTGTGTGTGTGTGTGTGTGTGTGTGTGTGTGTGTGTGTGTGTGTACATCCTACTTAGGTAGCAGTGACAGTTGGATTTCAGCCCAGAAAGTGTTGCCGTTGACTTTGCAGCAGTGACCTCCACCAGAATGAGTTGGTAGACTGCTAGTTGAAATATCTGTGGAGGTTATTGTGCTTTTCCTCTTGATAACAGAAAGCTGTAGAAAGAAACGGGTTATGAAAGAAGAGAGGTTTCTGGTATGGTGTGATTGTTGACAGCTGCAGCTGTGTTTTAGGTGAAGTGAAATTTGTTCTTTTGGGGGAGGGAGTCTTTTTTGGGACAGGCCTGGATTTCAAGCAGGCCTTGCACTTACTTTGTAGCCTGGGCTGGTCTTGAACTCAGCCATCCTCCTGCCTCAGCCTCCTGAGTGCTGGAATTAAAGACATGCACCACCATACCCAGAGGCCCTTCTTAATTGGCCTGTTTTCAGGTTACTTCCATTCAAAGGAATGAAAGTGAGAAAAGCTTGGGGGTCTTTTCTTTTTGACCAGGGATGAGAGGGCTGAAACTTCAAGGAATGATGAGTCAGAACGGGGATCTCTGTTCTGTTGCTAAGTTGTTTCTTGCCTATGTAATAGCTGAGATGAATTTCTCGTCTTTTGCTAGGTTAGCTTTACCACCATCAGTTCACCTTGGAAATAAAGAACAAAACAGTAGAAGGATCATTTTTCTTGAGGCAGAGTTTATTTTTTCCTCCAGTTATTTGACTTCTTTATGAAGGACAGGTATTCTTTAGAATTTATTTGACAGTCCTTCGAGATTACAGCTACATTTTCCTTCTACAGTTCAAATCCTTTTAATAAAGAAGAGCTGACAGCTATTTTGAAATTTGGAGCAGAGGATCTCTTCAAAGAGCTTGAAGGGGAGGAATCAGAGCCTCAGGTAATGAAGAATCAGGGGAAACATTTTTTGCAGTGTCATCTATGAGAAACAAAGTTCCATTTTTTTTTTTTTTTTTTTTTTTGGTGTTTTTGAGACAGGGTCTTGCTATGTAGTTCAAGCTGGCCTTTGAGCTCACTTTGTAGCCCAGTCTGGTCTTGAAATCACAATGATCCTCCTGCCTCAGCCTCCCAGGTGCTGGGATTACAGGTGTGTGCCACCACACCCGGCTCAAAGTTTTTGTTTTTAAAGACAGGGTCTCACTCCATAGTTCAGGCTGGCACGGAGCTCACATGTTAGCCCAGCTTGTACAGCCGTCCTCCTGCCTCACTTCCCAAGTGCTGGGATTGATTATAGGCATAGGTCACATACCTGGCTATGAGAATCTTTAGGTTTATTGAGTCCTTTATAGGGAAAGAATAAATATTTGTAGGAACATAATTGTTTTTTTTTTTTTTTCTAAAACTCAAAGCTTTTACTAAGTTGGCAAGGAAAGAATGAATAAAGCATTTAAACATTTATCTGCTTAGTTTTGTTTTTTGTAACTTTTCAAGTTTCACTCTATCATTTAGATAAATGGAAGTTTGAAACATTAGATGTAAAATACAGAGTGGTGACTATAATGATAAAGAGAAATTAGAAAGTTGGCTTGTTTGTATCTAACATATTCAGTAAATCCTGGCATTTGCTGTCATTCTGACATCTATTTTGCATTTTTTTTTCTTTTAGGAAATGGATATAGATGAAATTTTGCGCTTGGCTGAAACCAGAGAGAACGAAGTATCAACAAGTGCCACCGATGAGCTTCTGTCACAGTTTAAGGTATGAAGACCCTTTGGAAAGTTCTTGGCCCTCATTCATTGTTAATTTTTTTTTTTTGGCAGAACTGGGGATTGAACTCAGGCCCTTGTACTTTGCAGGCAAGCACTTATCCTACTGAGCCACCTCCCCAGCTCATTCATTGTTAATTACACATGTCTTCAGGAACTTCCTTTGTGTTAGATTCTGTTTTTTTTCTGAACTGACTTACATCCGCGGTGTCATTCTGAGTCGTAAGGACACTGTGAATGTGGTCTGTAGTCTATGCTTGGCAGATAACCACTACAGTTGGCCATCCTGTCCCAGAGCTAGCGAGCAGGGGAAAAGACGTCCATGAATAGGCCTGAAGCTGTGTTGTTAGAAGGGTAAGTGGAGTATCAGAGGTGTGGAGGAAGGTGTGGCACATCTAATCAGACACAAAATAGTGGAAAAGATTTGAGCAGCCATAGGTGGGGCTGAGAGTTGTGGGAGGAACTTGAGGAATCTTGTGAGTCAGATGAACTGCTTTGCTGTGGAGCCAATCCGCAAGATCATATGACTTTCTCTGGCAGTACTTGAGGTCAGAGAAACTGGGTCAGTTGATGATCCTTAGGAAGGAGATTGACTTGGGAGACGGGGACATCAAAATGGCTAAGATTTCCAAGATTCAAGTTGATTCCACATGGCTTAGGAGGAGCGGAAGAGGCCTGGAGGTTACTGTGATGTCAGTTTCAGTGGACCCATCAGGTTTGAGGGAGACCATGTTGTGTTTGGAAGGAAGGAAGCAGGGTTGTGTGCTGTGCTTCATGGTTGGCCACAGGCTGAAGTCTTGGTGGAAGAACAAGGAGGAAATAGAGGTGGAGGCGGGTGGGTGGATGTTCTTGGGGTCAAAGAGCTCAAGGAGGAGGGTTTAGATGTGTAGCAAAGGTGGATTATTGTAACAAAGAACTGTCATGTGAGTGCTTTATATTCAGCAACAGACATTTGTGTTTCATATCTCAAGGTATCTTGAGAGCAGCATGTCAGTATGGTCAGGTTCTGATGAAGGCTGCCTTCTTTTTTTTTTTTTTTTTTTTGCGGAACCGGGGATTGAACTCAGGCCCTTGTGCTTGCCAGGGAAGCACTTATTCTACTGAGCCATCTCCCAAGCCCCTAAGGGCTGAGTCACAGATTGCCATGATTAGGAGATGATTAATTCTATACACCTGAGCTTACGGTCTCACCAAGTCAAAGAATAAAGTTGCAGACCAAAAGGAGGAAGTTAGGACAGTATTTATTAGAGATGATGATACCTGCTGGATTTCCAGGAGGGCTCTCAAGTAGGTGGCCGCATGGCTGGAGCTGTGTGAATGGGTAAGAGAAACAGGAGTTGCTCGGTTCCTTAGTGGCCACCTGTCACAGGTGATTCTGGAGGGCTGAAAATGACCCCTTAGCTAGAACTCAGACTTCTAACCCAATTAGTTGGAGGTGGGATTTAAAGGAAAGTAGGATTTTAAAGAGAAACCTGTTATTTTGTGTTTTCTTTTTTCTTTTTTTTTTGGGGGGGGGGCAGAACCAGGGATTGAATTCAGGCCCTTGCGCTTGCCAGGCAAGCGCTTATTCTACTGAGCCATCTCCCTGTGCCTTATTTTGCATTTTGAATTCCATGAAACTCAGGGACTTAATAGGAAGGTGCTGCATCCCATGGTGCCTGAGGAAGTTCATTCTTGGTCACAAGTCAGAGCTCTTATTTTAATTTTCATCAGTGTGGTTCATCACCTAGCTATGTGTCAGGTCCTTTCCCTGGCCGGCTGCTAACTAGATAAACTATTTTGGGCAGATTGTCTGGCCCACCCTTAACTATGACATTGCCTTCGGAAATGCCCAACTGAATGCGGCACCACTTTTGCCTATTTACATTATTTTATTATTTTCATCCATTTAAAAGTCATCATTGGGGCAGGCCAGATAATTTAGCAGACTAAAGCTGCCTTCTTAGGCAGGGACCTGGGATTCGATCCCTGGCCTGCTGTGCTGGCCCCACCCCCAGGGCGTGCTGAGACTACAATTGAGACTGGGTGTGGTGGTTCGGGCCTGTAATCTCAGTGCTTGGGAGGCTGAAAAACAGGAAGGATCATGACAAGTCCTATCTGTGTAGTGAGACCCTGTTGACCCTGTAGTAAATATTCCTCCTTCCCCCCAAAAAAAGTCATAGTTGAAGTGATTAATATTAGTGCTTGATTTGAGAGAATGGTCAGATGATGTTTGGAACAATGTCAGAAATTGTAATTTCTTTTTGTCTTAGAATTGAAAAAAATCTAGGTGGTGTGTGCCTCCAGCGGTTTGAAGGCTGAAAACAAGAGGATCACTATGAGTCCGATCAGTGTAGTGAGACCCTGTAGACCCTGTACTAAATGCTGAAAAACACACAAAAAACCCAAGAATTGAAAGAAATTTCATTGTAAAATATTGGGACCAGGGAGATAGCTCAGTAGAATAAGTGCCTGCCCGGCACACGCAAGGTCCTGAGTTTAATCTCCAGTACCACCAAAAAAAAAAAAAAAATCATGATAAAGTTAATTAATTTTAAAGTTAATTCTGGGCAAAAGTCATAAGGTTCTGACCTGATTTCTCTGCACCAAAAGCTTAAGGAATGGAACCCTGGAAGCTTCTTTGTTTATCTTTGTAGTCTTCAAGGTGAGGGGGAAGGAGGAAAGAAGGCAGAGCTCTTTGCATACCAGCACCTCCAGGCTGTCCAGAGCTGGCCATTCTTTCTCCTGAGCCCTGTGTGGTCGGTGAAATGTGTACATTTAGATGGCATTTTTTTTCTGGGCTATGTACTATTTTATATTTTAGTACAAATCTGTATCAGGTGTTAATATGTGATATGAAATAAATGTAATATCTTTATAGGCTTTTGGGGGATATGTGTTTTTTGAGACAAGGTCTCAGCAGTTCAGCTGATCTTGAATTTGCTTGTATAGCCTAGGCTGGCCTCAAACTGACTGCGGATCTTCTTGCCTCAGCCTTCTTAATGCTGGGATTATAGGCATGCTCCACCATAGTCAACTATTCTTGTAGGTTTGTTCAACCTTGTTCCTTTTTATGTTGTCATTTTCTGTCCTACAGCTGAAGTTCACTTTTGAACATACACAGTCATTGTGTATACATCAGTCATGGATTGATTGACTAGATGAATGACCTCTATTGACTAGCATTACATAAAAATACAGGTTCATTGTAGAACAGAGTAGTTTATATTCCTTTTTTTGGTCCTTGAAACAGGGTTTCACTCCACAGTTCAGGCTGGCCTTGAGCTCACTTTGTAGTCCAGGGTGATCTTAAACTCGCAAGGTTCCTCCTGCTCAGCCTCCTGAGTGCTGGGATTATAGGCATGCGCCACTACACCCAGCTAGTTTATATTTTTGTGATGCACTGAGCATCTGAGTGATAGGTTTGAGATCCTCATGTAGTGTGAGCAGAGAATTGCAGTAAAAGAAGCTAATCTACATTTATTGACAACTGCAGCGAGGTGTGCTTGGATTCCTGCCAGCAGGAAGACAGGTAGCATGAATGGGAAAAGTGGTCCTGGGTTGTCAGTGGACTAGGAAGAAGGTAAATCAGGCTTTCTGGTTTTAGAAGGCGTGCCCCTGGGTGCCTCTCGTTGGATCTTTCTGGATAACATTGACAGAGTACTGAATCATCTTAGGGTGCATGGCTGCCAAAGTATGCCTTTTATTTTATTTTACTTTTGGTCTTTTTGAGACACGATCTCATCGTGCAGTTCAGGCTGGGCTTGAGCTCACTTTGTAGCCCAGGCTGGTCTTGAACCCTCAATGATCCTCCTGCCTCAGCCTCTCCAGGGTTGTGATTAGTACGCCTGGCTAGAATTTTCTCTTTTTTATGCAGTCCCTCTGCTGTGAACCTTTATTGAAGTTTGAAAGGGGAAAACGTTACTGAAGGTTAGGTCCCAGGAATCTAATAGGCACTGGATCTGGCTTTAGAGATTTCCTGGGTCTTTGTTGTCTGTATTTCACTTCTCTTAGGACAGTGATGGCAAGTCTTTTAGGGACCAGGTGTTCAGACTGCAGCCCGAACCTACTTACTTATCGAAAGTGCCAACTCTGAAATTAAACCTGAGCACTGAAATTTTAGTTTAGAAAACACCTCATGCTTCAACATCTTTTGTCTTAAAAACACAATAACAAGACTTTAATGAAATAAACGGCTTTTTATTAGAAGGTAAAACTTCGCATTTGGCATGCTTTTGCAGTTACTGCGCTTTGCTGTTGTATGCATGCTGGTAGTTTGTCAGTCCTTGGCTCATACCTTCTTAGTTTGAGAGCAACACGTGCAGCACTCAGGTAATCTATTATCCTTATATCAGATTTGGTATAATTCAAAGCCAGAAACAGCTGCTTAGCAGCTGCTTACAAACAAACATGATGATCCAAAGAAAAGCAATCCCATGTGCTTGCATTGGCTTAGAATTATGTGGCAGAGAATGCCACACTTTAAGGGTTTTATGTTCAGAGCTGCCAGCTGTGTTGTCCTTTGTCATCTATGTACTCTGTCTTCTTAACTATTTCCAGATAGAGCTTTCTTGAAATTTCTATAGCTCCATTCCCAGATTTCTAAAGTCTAATCAGTATGAGCACAGAAAGATCAAGTTCTCCAAATTTGGCTTTATCTAGAGAAGAAAATTCAGGGTTGTCTCCATCTTACAGAACTGTAAAAATCTGTTACTGAAGTTCTCCTTTGCAGTTGCTGCAGTGTTAGAAAATTCCTCCTCGATTTCCTGATGGCCTGTAGGATTGTCTGCAAGCATTACAGACTTTAAAAACACAGTTTTATATGCAATGTGTTAATTATTGAAACTGTCCTACCAATTTGATTTGAAACTATCTCATTGCTATTTGTTTATCAGTAAAATTATGGAAAAAAAAACCCACAATTTTAGATTTCCAAAAATATTTCAGCTGCCCAATTTCAAGGTCTGGGACAGCTTGGCCCATGTGCTGACAGAGAGGGATGTGTATGCCATAGGTTTGCCACAACTGTCTTAGGACAGTGGAAGGAGGATTAACCCTGGGGTGTCATCCCAATTCAAGTGGATGAGGTGGGAGTGATCTCCTAGCCCCAGTCGTACTGCCTGTACTAGTTTATTTGTTTCTCTCCTTCTTAGTTCAACTTGTGGTGAGCTTATGGGTTTTAACAGGTTGATTTAGGGGAACATGAGAAGGGTTAGTAGAATATCCATTATCTCTTTATGGTTCTCTTAATGGGGATTGAACTCAGGCCCTTGCGTTTGCCAGGGAAGCGCTTATTCCACTGAGCCATCTCCCTGGCCCCTTATTATCTCGTTATGTATTATCACTGGACTCCTATGTCAGTGTCTTAGTAAGGCTGAAAACACTGATGTTTTATCAGAGGGTATTTGGAAATGGAGGACTATGAAACGGGATCTTGTCTATTTGTTTGTAGGTTGCTAACTTTGCAACAATGGAAGATGAAGAAGAGCTAGAAGAACGTCCTCATAAGGATTGGGATGAGATCATTCCAGAGGAGCAAAGGAAAAAAGTAGAGGAGGAAGAGCGGCAGAAGGAGCTAGAAGAAATTTATATGCTGCCTCGAATTCGTAGTTCCACTAAGAAGGTGAGGAGGCAGCGAGGTGAAGGTCATGGGTGTACAATACTTGCGCTGTGAAGTCTGCCTTCGGGGCAGATGACCCCGGGAAGAGGCCTTGTACTGTTGCCCTGACTCTGAGTCCCACAGACGAGTTAAGAGTATAGGAAACCAGAAAGATAAAGGGACTGCACAGAATTTACAAGTGCACTTGTGATACATTTGTCTTGGCAGCCCAACTTGTTATGAAATGACTGCAGGGGATCTGAGTTCAGTAGAAATTCAAGTTTTTCCTTTGAAATTAGGACTGGTAATCTTAAAGGTGTGGTTCTAATTGCTGCTGCCTTTAGCTTCAGAGCTTTCAAAATGTTCAGAGCACTCAATAATAGGTGCTTATGTTATGTGACTAAATACATAATTGAAACAGGGAACATCAGTAGCCTTCACCCTTTACAGAAGTACCTTCCTAGACATTATCTGTCTTGACTTTTGAAACATTGAGGTAGATAAAAGTTTTTTTAGCCGTTGTTATTGGTGAGAGTGGACTTACATTTCTCTGCTGGCATGGTAAGTATTAGCTACCATTTTTGAATACTTCTTGTGTGCCTGGCATAGTTCTAAGTCTATTTTTACTACTGACTCATTTAAAACTCAGTTATAAAGTTATATGGATGAGTTATATGGATGGTTATACTGTTACAAAGAAAAAAAAGGCACAAAAAAGTAGATACTTGTGGAGAGTAAAAATGAACTTGTTTCATACTGAATATTGTATTCATTAGACAGTGCAGAAAAGCCCAGATAGTTAATCCACTTTAATTAAGTTACAGTGTCTTGGGAAGCGTGACTGTCCCAGGCAGGTTTTCCCTCATTATATGGTATCTCACTGGTTAGAAGGAAAATTTACTTTTTTGGTAATTCTGAATACTAGGGAATTGGAAAGGTGGACTGGTTGTAGTCCTTTTATTTGTTGGAGCACACACTTACCAAAGTGTCACTATCTTATTCTGCCTCAGGCTCAGACTAATGACAGTGATTCTGACACTGAGTCTAAGAGGCAGGCTCAGAGATCCTCGGCTTCCGAGAGTGAGACTGAAGACTCCGAGGATGACAAGAAGCCGAAGCGCAGGGGGCGCCCCCGGAGCGTGCGCAAAGACCTGGTGGAGGGCTTCACGGACGCAGAGATCCGCAGGTTGGTGCAGGTTCTGCTGTCTCTGAGCTTGTTAGGGAGGGCGTGCTGGGGAGGCTGCTGGGCTCCTGGCGTTGGTGGTGGGGCAGAGGCGCTTCATCTGTACCGGAAAGGTAGAGAAGATGGTGCCCCTGGTCTTCAGGGTGATTCCTCCTGTGGAGTTTTTCTCAATTGAGATTTTTCTGCTTTGTTGTTTTTTTTTTTTTTTTCCTCTTGTTCTTTGTTTATTCAGAATCTTTTTATGGATAAAATTCAACTAGAGAAAAGGAATCCCCCCCCCCCAGGGATCCTCATATGGAACAAGTAATATGAATGTTAAATAAGTACAGATAAGGCCTTCCTTACTGTCCTCTTCCTCCCCGCTCCTCTTCAAATCTAGCTTCCTCAGTGTTCGTGTAGATGTCGATTTGGTGGTGCTTTGATCCCTCTGCCTGTGTATAGTCTGTGCAACATGTTGGAGGGCAGCCTTTTTTTTTTTTTTTTTTAATTCTCCCCTCCTCTCCCCTTCCCCTGCCCCTTCCCCTTTCTCTCCCCTTCCCCCTTAATTTTTTTTTGTGTGCCCAGCTCAGCCCACCCTGGAGGCAGGGCCGGCATAGCATGTGGTACTGGGGATCGAACTGTAGTCCCTCCATGCTTGCCTGAGCGGGTGCTTTAGCCCACTAAACTATCTTGTCGGCCCTGGTGTTTTTTTTTTTTTTTAGTTTTTCATAGTGATTTTTATTTATTTTTTTAACATTTATTTAGTGTGTGTGTGTGGGTGTGTGTGGGTGTGTGTGGGTGTGTGTGGGTGGGTGTGTGTGGGTGGCCAGCCAGCTCAGCCCACCAGGGGGCGCCGCTGGCTGGCATGTGGTGCTGGGGGATCGAACCATGGTCCCTGTGCTTTTGCTTAGCTTAGCTTAGCTTGTTCTAAGTAGGTGCTTTAGACCACTGAGCCATCTCTCCAGCCCTGGTGTTTTTGTTTTGTTGCCACTTGAAATCAATTTTTGCCATACTTCTGTGTCAGTACATATGCCACATTTGTTGGTATCTGTTTCATACCTCTCTGCCCTCCAGAAACATCTAAAATTGCACTTCCAAAGCAGTTTTCTTAGTTTCCGTGTTACTGTTTTTTTTTCCCCAAAAGCCTGAGGAAAAAGTATGAAGATAGCCTTATAGCCCTATCCATATTATAAATAGTCCTTTAAGATTAGTGTTTTTGAAGGTGTGAAGTGTTTGTTTCCACTTAAATATTATACCTATTTTTCTTTGTTACTAGAATTTAAGTGTACTTAACAGCTTTGAATCTGTAGCACATCTGTCTCCTCTTGCTCCCTACCCCCTGTATTTTGAGATGAGTATGTTTTTTGCTGTTGGGTGGAATGTTTGTAGGTATGTATTAAATTTATTTGGCTTAGCATTGTATAGATCTTCTATTCCTTACTGATATTCTGATTGATTCTGTTACTGAAAGTAGTGTTGGACTTTCTGTTATTATTGTCTTGCTTTGTTCCTTTAAAGTTTTGCTTTGTTTTAGAAACTATCATTAGGTGCATATACTGCATTTTTTTTATAAGTGATACCTCTTCTTGATAGTTGGTCTTTCTTAAAGGATGATTGTAAAACTGTTTCTTTAAATTTTGGTCCTAATTTTTTTCTGTCCTGATATTTGTATAGCTATTCCAGCTCTCTCTGTGGGTATTTGAAGTATTTTTCCACTTTTTAATTCAGTCTTTTTAATCTTTGCATCTGATTTGTCTTAGTATAACTGGGTTATTATTATTACTATTTTTGGAGGGGAGTGACTTCTTTTTGCCATAGGGTCTTGCTTTGTGTAGTGCAGGCTGGCCTTGAACCATTAGCACTAGCTGGCCTGCTGAGACTTGAAGTGATCCTCTTGCCTTGGCCTCCTGAAGGCTGGAGTTGTAGCTGTACACCACTTTGCCCAGTGTGCATCATGTTTAAGAACTTTTTCTTCTTTGCTCATCTCTTCCTTTTCATTGGAGTCTAATTCATTTACATTTAGTGCTGTTGCTAATAAGTAAGATTTATCTTTGCATTTTGCTGTTCATTTTCTTTTTATTACCTTAATTTTCCATTACTTGTTATGAAAAATAGGTATACAGCATTCCCTTGCTATTTGTGGTTTGACTTTTGCAAACTCACTGTTTTGCAGGTTTTTTTGAAATAATTCAAAAAATATTTTAAATTACTTATTGCAGATTTTTCACCATATGGGGATTTTGCAGTACTATACAGTATACATATGTTGTTAAAATTACGTAGGTTTACGAGTTTAGAAAATGTTTAAAACATTAGAAGTGTTTTTAAAAGTGTGGGAAAGGATTATAAGAGTGTGGGAAGGGTTTACAAGGCCTATAAATAATAAAATAAATAACAATGTTGCTACTTTGCTGATTTTCATTTATCGCAGGGGTGTCTGGGACGTAACCTCTGTGATAAGTGAGGAGCCACTGTACTTCAGTATATAATTTTAATTACATTATTTTTGTTTTGTTGTGTTATATTTTTGGTGGTTGCTCTGGAGATTACAAGTTGACAGCAACTTAATCCCACTGATTCATACAAAACTTGGCTCCATTGTAGATCATTCCCCCCCACTCAGTGCTGTCACTCAAGGTATTATTACACATTGTAAGCAGCCTAGCAATGCAGTTGTCATAAATATTGTTCACTGTCGTTGCCTTTTAAAATCACGTAGAATAGGGCCGGGGAGATAGCTCAGTAGAATAAATGCCTGCCTGGCAAGCGCAGGGTCCTGAGTTCTGTCCCCAGTACCACAGAAAAGAAAAAGAAAAAGAAAAGTCACGCAGAATAAGGCCAGGTGTGGTAGTGCACACCGGAATCCTATCACTCAGGAGGCTGAAGCAGGAGGATCATTGCAAGTTTGAGACTAGCCTGGGCCAGCCTCAACTGGCAAGACTGTCTCCCAAAAAAAAAATAAATAAATAAAAAATAAAAAAAATCACATAGAATAGTTACGAAACTAAAAATACATTTGTACTACTTTTATGAATCAGATAAAAGAGATACTATTAAAAATGCATTTGTAGTATCTTTACTTTTACTTAGTTATCCTAAAGTTCCTCATTTCTTCATGTGGATTTAAGTTATTGTTTGTTTTCCTGTGACAGCTCCCTGAAGGATTCTCTTCAGTGTGTTTTCTTTTGAGATGTGTGTTCGCCATGATTTCTGTACATTTCTATATCTGGCCATATCTCAGTTCTCCTACATTTTCAAAGATATTCTTCATTTTTTTGTCTTTTTGTTTTTACTATAAATAATTTCAGTTGACTCATCTTTATATTTATTGATTCTTTTTTTTTTTTTTTCCCGGAACCAGGGATTGAACTCAGGCCCTTGCGCTTGCCAGGGAAGCGCTTATTCCACTGAGCTATCTCCCCGGTCCCCATATTTATTGATTCTTGTGCCATCAAACATTATCTAATTTTTTTTTGTGTGTGTGTATGTGTGTGTGTGGCCGGCTCAGCCCACCCTGGGGACAAGGCTGGTGTGGCATGTGGTGCCAGGGATTGAACCACCATCTGTGCGCTTGTGTAAGCTTGCCTAAGCAGGTGCTTTAGACTGCTGGGCTATCTTGCCGGCCTTGAATATCATCTAATTTTTTTTTTAAAAAGTAAGTAATTACTTTTTTCCACTCTAGGATTTCTATTTGACTCTTCTAATTTCTGTTTCTATTTATATTCTGTGTTTGGTGATAATGTTACTCTGAAAGTTTCTTTTTAATTCTTTGGACATGGATTTCTTTAGTTCTTGTACATATTCGTAACAGCAGGTTGACATCTTTGTCTTATAAGTCCAAGTTTAAAACTTCTTCAGGCATATTTCTTTCTCTTTTTTTTTTTTGCGGAACCGGGGATTGAACTCAGGCCCTTGCACTTGCCAGGGAAGCGCTTATTCCACTGAGCCATCACCCCGGCCCTTCAGGCATATTTCTATTTAAATAAAAACGTATTTGGTACAGGGTCTAATTATGCAGCTTGGACCCTGTTTTCAGCCGGATCTCAACGGTCAGCTGAGCATGCCTGGGGGCGGGACCAACACAGCTTGTGGTGCCAGGATTGAACCCCAGTCCCTGTGCTCTCCTGAGCAGGCGCTTAGTTTGTAGGCATAGTTCTTGACAACCTTTTCCCTCTTGAGTGCATTCTTTGTTTCTTCTGTGTTTCCTACAATTCTTTGGTGATGTTAAAAACAAAAACTGGGGCTGGGGAGATGGCTCAGTAGGATAAGTGCTTGACTGGCAAACACAAGGATCTGAGTTTAATCCCTGGTTCCACCAAAAAAACAAAACCAAAAACTGGGCATTTGAAGTCATATGGCAGTTCTGGATGTTAAATGCCTTCCCAGGCTGAGTTTGTTGTGTATGTTGCCCTTTCTCTTTGCTTCCTGTTCTTTGTCACTTGAAGTCTCTGCCCACTGGCTGGGTAGAATGTTTCTTACCTGCTTTGTTGGCTAAAGTTGAACCCTCATTGAAGGGGTTGTATCTTCTGGTGTGTCACGACGCTCCCGGTGCTGTTTATGCCTCCTCGCTAAGCTACAGTCTCTGTGTGTGCAGAGCCTCAAGGTCATCCAACATTGAGAGGTCAGGACCTTCTCAGAAGGGGCCTGTGCTTTCACACAGACCTGCAAAATGTGTAGTTTTGATTGTTAGGAGTGTGTCAGACACTTTCACAGTATCCTGTGGACATCTTTCTCCACAGTTCTTCCTCTTATGCTTTTGATCAACCTCTTCTCATCCCCAAATAGTATTGTTTCCCTAGCAGACTGGGATTTGTTGTTAAGCTTTTTCATCTGGTTGTTTCTGACCAATGAACTGTGGATGAGGCTGTCCCAAAAAGTTCTAAATCAGGGCAAATAATAGGTCAACCTGAGAGGGTGCTTGTCAGGCTGCAGTTCTCCAGGGATAGGGCATTTGGCCAGTTCCAAGACTGTTCTTACCCCCTAGTGCCTGCTATTTGCAGGCCGGCACAGCCACTGTAATTACAAAGGGCTTAGTTTTCAGGGCTGTCCAGAGGTAGAGAGAAGGGCTTGGGAATAGAGCAAGTTAAAATGGCAGAAAGCTTGATACTCTTGCTGAGACTCAGTCATTTTCTTGAACAAATGCCTTGTAGGTGACCGCAAGTCTATGCTTAATTTCCAGAGTGTGACTGTTGATTTTAGCGGTTTTTTCCAGTGTTGACAAGCTTTTTGGGTCTTTTTGAAGTTCTCATTTTCATACTTCTCCTGATGATGAAGACGATAAATATTATCACTTTTTCTTTGAGACAGGGTCTCGCTTTGTAGTACAGGCTGATTTTGAACTTATTATGTAGCCTAGGTTGCCTTGAACTCAGAGTGATCCTCCTGCCTCAGCCTACTGAGTGGTAGGATTATAGATGTGCGCCACCACACCTGGCTCTTTTATTAGTAGTAGTATTACTGTAGCTACATTAATGATGTTTGCACCTGAACCTAGAGTCTTTTTTTTTTTTTGGTGGAACCAAGGATTGAACTCAGGTAAGCACTTATTCTACTGAGCTATCTCTCTGGCCCAAAAGATACATGTTCAAGTTTTGTTTTTGGTGGTGTTGGGGATCAAATCCATGACCTTGTGCATGCATGACAAGAGCACCACGGGAACTTTGGACTCGTCCCATCGTGAGGCAGGCTACACAGGTTTTCTGACTTCTGCCATGAGAGAAAGATTTTCAGGGTGTGTCAGTGAGAGCTATAATAGTTCATTAATCAGAATTTTAAGTGTGTAGGGGGCCGGGGAGATGGCTCAGTGGAGTAAGGGCTTCCCTGGCAAGCACAAGGGCCTGAGTTCAATCCCTGGTTCTGCAAAAAAGAAAAAAAGAATTTTAAATGTGCCCTCTCATAGATAGATCACAGGCCCTTAAAAAGGAGGGGTACTTTGCAGCCTTCAGCTGGGCATATTTATGAGGTTTTGAGTGTCCCTAATACAGATTCTCAAGGATGTGTGTTTTGATGTCCCTGAGGTTTGGGCCATTTTAGCCCATTTCATGGGCAATGCAAACTGTTACATGTGTGTGAGGCGAACAGACCCCAATTTCTACGCTGATTGTCTTTAAGGCCCTTAAGAATTTTTTCTGGAAGGGGATAAAGAAGCTTGACTGATTTGTGTATCCTAAAGTTGCAGGGTTTTCTTAGAAAGTACATTTTTTTCTCTCTGTCTGTCTTTCTTTCTTTCTTTCTTTCTTTCTTTCTTTCTTTCTTTCTTTCTTTCTTTCTTTTTGGTCTCCTGTCTTTATTCAGTCACCTCAAGGCCAAGAGCTCTGTCACTGACCTAGATCCCTAGTCTCAGAATTATCTTAAAGTAAAAATGAAGCCATTTTATTTCAGACATAAAATATTTCAGTGTAGAATAAGAAGGGAGAAATGAAGAGCTGAGACGTAATCCTCGGGTTCACTTTCATATTTACCATTTTCCCAGCACATGTATGAATGTTTCTCCTTTAATATTGTTTCTTTGTTTGTACTATATTTAGTCCTGTTCTCTTCAGTTGTCACATCCCCTAATTTCCATTTCTTTCTTAGCATTGCTCCTGACATGGTTACCTAACCATGTTTTCTTAGTGCTTTGGCACACTACCACTGTGATGCTCTTGATGTGTTGTGGCACCTTGCTTTTAGTGAAAATTTCATTGGCTCACCTGCAAGGGTAAGGAGAGGGTAACAACACAGTTTGTAGATAGTGTGGTTTGAGGTGTGGAAAGATATGTTGGATTTTTGGTGGCGATAAGGTTGGGCAAGAGTCAGCTGGAGTTTTGAGGATAGTTGTGCCTAAGATTTTTGTGTGTGTGGTACCATGAATTGAACTTGGGACCTTACACTTGCCAGGCAAGTGCTTATGCTGCTGAACTATCTCCCCAGCCCACCTTTTTTTGGTCTGTCTTTCTTTTTTTATATTTTAGGGAAGGGTCTACAGAGTGTTCAGGGTTTCACTACTAGATCGGACTCCTAGTGATCCACCTGTTTACAGCCTCCCAAGAGTTGGGATTACAGGCACACGCCACCACACCCAGTCTGAAGTTTCAAGTCATATTTTTACTTTACTCTATTTTCAAAAGTATTTCAGAGATTTCTAGGAGTCTTACAGCTATATTATTGTCTAGAAAAAAAGGAAAATATTGCAACATGAATTAAAAGTAAAGTAAGGATACCACATAGGGCCGTGAATGATGTTAGGTTTTGTCACAGTAGAGTTATGGTGCTTGAATTATTAATCACATATTGGACTTTGTGAACATGTACCTTTGAAAAGGATGTGAGAGTTAAGCCACAGTTCTTTCTATTGTATGTCTGTTTCATGGTCACTCATTGAAAATAAACTTGATCTTCAATTTAAGAGCTTTTAGTATTCATTATTTTCATTCCCTAATGTCAGAGATGCTCACAACTTTAATGATTGTTGCCAGGGTTGTGCTAGTCTGTTTGTGACAGTTGGGTGACTCATATTTCAACACGGTGTATATTGACACTAATACAACCAAAGTCTCTGTTTTAATGTATTTTATTGATCATATTCTTAGGTTCATCAAGGCTTATAAGAAATTTGGTCTCCCTCTTGAGCGGTAAGTGCTGTAATAGTCTGTTATCCTTTTCACTTTTATTATGCCAAGTTCTTTTGGCAGTTTTTTTCACTTAATAGTAATGCTGTGAACTTTTTTTGGAAATATTCTTTTATAACCATTCTTGGGTGCATATCCCCCCGGAGGTTGCAGCAGCAACAGCCCACTCACAGGTTTCCCTTTGTGGGCGGGGGGGGGGGAAGCTAATGCATGCACAACTATGAAGTGTACAGTGTAGTTTTCAGGAGTGCTCAGTTGACTCCATTGGGAAGGAACATGTGTTGTTACTACTTGCACTTTAGTTCTTAAGAGTTAGTAATGTGGAAGGAGAAAGGTTATTTGTGATTTCAGAATCTTCTACTAGTTAGGAAGGCATCTTGAAAGTTAAAGAATTTGTATTATCTTGCCAGTAGTGACAAAGAGGTTAGCTGTTAGCATTATTCAACAAGTGTTCAGAAAAATGAATTTAGAATCTGGGCATGGGCATGCCCGTAACCCCAGCACTTGGGAAGCTGAGGCAGGAAAATTGTTAGGAGTTTGAGATCACATGGGGATACAGAGTGAGCTTAAGGCCAGCCTGAATTGGGTAGGGAGACTTGTCTCAAAAAGAACCTCTCCGGTTAAATTTTAAGACATGGCTGTATTTCACAGATAAGCATTTTGTATTTTACTTTGTAAAAAAAAAATCAGCAATACATCCTTTAAATAGTAGGATTTGTTTAAAGAAATTCTTAGGTTCCTGGTAAACTTCTGGAGCTGGTGAAAATTCTAAGCCTGTCTATTTTGTTTTGTTCTTCTGTGTGGCAAGGAAGTAGTGATGTATACGAACAACTCACTGTGAAGCCAAAAAGGGCATCTTCCCAGGTTGACCGCCCAGAAGTAAAGCAGTTCTCTCTGAGCCATGACTGTAAAAGCCAGCAGGATGTAGAAACCAGATATGATACCTTTCGGCAGCCTGATTTTTAGTCATTGTGTTCTTGGGCCCTGTGACTTGGAGAGCAGATGAGTACTTTGTAGAAATAACTGTACTATGTTCCTAAGAAGACTGTGATGAATGAAAGTTGATAGCTTTAAAAATCTGCCAACAGAAGCAGGTAGCCCATCAACAGGCTTGTCTCTCTGACTTTGGAAATTACTTGTGGAATATGCTAAGACACGGTTATTGAGAATGAGTGCATTGTCTCTTGGTGACTTAAGGATTTGGTTTAATTTTTTTTTTTTTTTTTTTTTTGATGCTAAAGATTGAACTTTGGTCATCACACATTGTCCAAGGATTTTTTCGGAGTCTGAATAACCTGGAATTTCATGTGATATTTTGGGGGGTTTTTTGGTACTGGAAAGTGAACTCAGGTGCTGTGCTGCCCTTGCGTGATTTTTAAAATGTGGCCACCATGTCTCCGTATTCATCATTCCTCAGGCTGGAGTGCATAGCCCGGGATGCTGAGCTGGTGGATAAGTCTGTGGCAGACCTGAAGCGCCTGGGTGAGCTGATTCACAATAGCTGTGTGTCTGCAATGCAGGAATATGAAGAACAGCTGAAGGAAAACGCCAGCGAGGGTAAGGCAGCAAATCTCCTTCCGTGATCCTTAAAGATCCGTTGCTGTGCAGTGGGTTTTCTGTTCTGAAGGGCTTTTAAAAACATATTTGTACTGTACCCCACAAACAGGTCCTGTACCCCACACGCAGGTACTGTACCCCGCACACAGCTCATGCTGTGAGTGTATGTCATGAGCCGCCTTTCTCTGAGTTCAGTGTTCTGAGGTGCCACAGACCAGCTACCCACAGATGAAGTGAATTTGTGGTAGATACAGAATGATGGAGAAAATCAATAGTTTCTTTTATATTGTTATAAAAGTGTAAATTGGTTGACTGAATTAAAGACCTCAGAGTCAATGCCAAGTGGAGGTCTCTTTTGGCTGCAAGTGAGGGATTGTGTAGAAGTCATTACTTGGGTATAGGTACAGTATTGTTAAATTGTGTCAAATTAAATAACTTAGAGAACTAATTGAAATGAAATATTGCATGAATATTATAAATGTTTTGTTACATTCAGATTTTCATGCTACTGGAATTGGTTGTACCTGGATTGGATATGTGGCATATTTCTCTCTTTGACATCAGAGATGTTTTTGCCTGTTCCTTAAAAGGAAGAGGTATAAGGGTGCTTGTAAGCAGAGAGCTCAGAAGTTACCATGTAGAAGAGAAGCTGCATTTTAGAAGCTGTGTTTTATGTGTGCCATTTTCTCCATCCTTTTGTTGCTGTTCACTGTGCCAGGTATGACTATCCTCTGGAGCCTCTGTTGGCACTCAGCCTTGGATGTAGCCAGCTTCCGGGAATGTTGGATTTGCTTTTCCTTAGTTATCAGATCTTGGACACATTTTACTCTCATGCTTATCTTTTTTTTTTTAATGGTTCTGGGCATCGAACTTGGGACCTTTTGCTTGCCAGGCAGGTGCTTATGCCACTGAGCTGTTTCCCAGTCCTCACACCTATCTCTTGTGCACAGTTAGAATAGTAAGTAAAGGGTTTGGATCATTGATTAATGTTATATAGTATCTGACTTGTAGTTCAGCTATCAAGAAATGAGTATTTATACTTTGAAATTTTATTTTTAAGGACATTTTTAAAATTAATAGAATTGAAAAATATTTCAGACATAGTAGCTTTTTAAAGATAAAATAAAAAACTTTTATTTGGTACAGGGTCACAGGATCTCACTACACAGCTTAGACTCGTATCGATCTCCCCAGCACTGGGATTATAGGCATGTACCACCACACTCAGTCTCGGTGGCTGGCTCAGTGTGCCCATGGGTGGAGCCTGGCATGGCATGTGGTGCCAGGGATTGAACCCCAGTCCCTTGCTAAGCAGATGCTTAGTTTGCTGAGCTATCTCGCTGGCCCTAAAAAACTTTAAAGCTTGCTTTTTGTAAAAGGAATTTAAATAGCTTGAATAGTTTAGATAGTAATATAAATATGAGATTTTATAGCACCCAGGAAATACCCCAAGCTAACCTAAAACTTAGTGTTTTTTCTTTGAAATTGGTTTGAATAAATAATATCTACATGGCTCAAAATTGAAAAACATGCATCCCTATGTTTCTCATCTTTTTTAAAATTTTTATTTATTTGTGTGTGTGCGTGTGTGTGTGTGTGTGTGTGTGTGGCCAGCTCAGCCCACCAGGGGGCGGGGCTGGCTGGCATGTGGTGCTGGGGGATTGAACTGCAGTCCCTGTGCTTTGCTAAGCTTGTTCTAAGTAGGTGCTTTAGACCATTGAGCCATCTCACCAGCCCTGTTTCTCATCTTTTTGAGAAATTTTAAAATGCACATGTTTTACAGAAAAATAGATACTGCCTTTTTTGGGGGAGGGTGTTTTTTTGAGACAAGAATCTCATTGTGTAGTTCCACTGGCCTTCAACTCACCATGTAGCCTAGGCTGACCTGGCCTCCAACTCATAGCAGGATTCATGTAGCAGCGTCCCGAACTGTAAGATTGTAGTGTGAGCCACCATGGCTGGCACCTTTCCACTTTAGTTGAATTGTTTTTTAGGGGACCTTTATTTTTTGTTTTTGGTGCTGAGGACCGAACCCAGGGCTTCCAGCTTACTAGGTAAGCATTCTACTGCTGAACCAAATCCCTAGCCCCACTTTTCCACTTTAAACACAAATTAGTGATAGCGTGGGGCACACACACGGTCTTGTCCTGTCCTGTCCTGTCCTGTCCTGTCCTGTCCTGTCCTGTCTTGTCCTGTCCTGTCCTGTCCTGTCCTGTCCCTTTCATTTTCAGTCTCTTGGTTTTATTTTTAAATTTTTTTATGTATTTAGTACAGGGTCTCACTACACAGATTGGACTCATAGTGATCCTTGTTTCCAGCCTCCCAAGTGCTGGGATCGTAGGTGTGCGCCAACACGCTCAGTCTCGCCATCTCAGCATGCCCCAGGGGTGGGGCTGGCACTGGTACCAGCTCGACAGGACAGGCTGGGGATCGAACCTGGTCCTTGCATCTGTCTCAGCAGGCGCTTTAATCTGCTGAGCTCTCTGGCTCTAATCTCATGGTTTTATTTATTATTTATTATTATTATTATTATTATTATTATTATTATTATTATTTGGCAGAACTGGGGATTGAACTCAGGCTTCTGCACTTGCCAGGCAAGTGTTTATTCTACTGAGCCATCTCCTTGCCCCGCCCCCCATGGTTTTAGATATGGTTTTAGATATAACTTCCTTATTATATCCTTTTCGCTGCACATGTTTTATTTTTTTTCTGTATGTTCACATTCTGGATCTGACTGCTTTCTCCTGACTTGAATCCAGGGCAACATTTTAATTTCTGTGGGAAGATTATTGATACTGTTTCTAAAAATATGAACATAGTTACGTATTTGTGTGTGTGTGTGTGTGTGTGTGTGTGTATCAATCTTGCTGTTGTTTTTCTAATTTTTTGTTACAGGATCTCACTGTGCAGCCCAGACTGAATCACAGTAGTGATCTTCCTGTCTCAGCCTCCTCAGCACTGAGATTACAGGCGTGCGCCACCATACCCAGTTTTGGGCCAGAACAGCACATGATATAGGGGATTGAACCCGGGTTCTTGTGCTTGCCAGGCAGATGCTTAGACCACCTAGTTAGCATCCCAGCCCATGGTCTTGCTATTGTTAGTAATGCTCCCAAATGGAAAGTTTGGTTTACTTGCTTATCTTTTTTTTTTTTTTTTTTTTTTTTTTAATTAGAATACGTTCCACTTAACATCTTGTCAAAATACTATATTTTAAAATTATTTGAAGTTCTTTTCTGTGTTGGTTAAATTACCAACTTAACTTTACAAAGTCCTGTTTTCATTTATCTTTAATTTTTAGGGAATATTCTTGTTATTTTGATGGGATTGTGAAACAGGGCTCACATGGAGCCTCTTGTTCTCTCACTTCCCAGCCTGTTCTTCCCTCCTCCTCTGGCCACCATTCCTAGTACTTATACGTTATTATTCCATTGCTTCTTTTTAAAAATTTAAGTATGTGGGTATATGTTTTTCCTCTTACAAGAGAGCGTGTAGCGGGGCTGGGGAGATAGCTTGGCGGTCTAAGTGCCTGCCTGGTGAGTGCAGGGACTGGGTTCGATCCCTGATACCCCATGCCATGCTGGCCCCAGAACTCTGGCCACTCTGTGCACTCTGTTGGCCCTGAAACCAGGCATGGTAGCACACACCTGTAATGCCAGTGCTGGGGAGGCTGAGACAGAAGGATCACTATAAGTCTGAGCTGTGTAGTGGGATCCTGTGCCAAATAAATAAGTACATATATAAAAGATTTTAAAAGAGAGAGAGAAAGCATGTAGCTAAGAGCTCTTCATGTCTTTAGGTAGAGATTGTCCCTTCTTTGACAGGTGCCCAGGGCTCTACCATATAGGCACATGGTAGTTCACTTTTTTGTTCTTTAGTAACGAATATGTGGGTTGTAGTCTTCTGCTATTGTAAATAAAGCCACAAAGAATAAATGTGGTCTAATAAGTATGCTCTTACAAGTTTAGAGGGTAGATTTCTAGAATTAGGATTACTGGATCCTGGAAGGAAAATACATACAATAATCAAAAAATATAAGGAATGTTTACTTTTTAAAAATTCATTACAGGGGCCGGGGAGATGGCTTGGTGGAATAAGTGCTTCCCTAGCAAGTGCAAGGGCCTGAGTTCAATCCCTGGTTCCACCAAAGTAAATAAATAAATAATAAATAAATTCATTACTGTAAAACACAAGTGGCCATCAGCCTGTCTCACTTCACACCCTTGTCCCATCATTCTGGGCACTTTGTGAAGTCGGTAGTTCTGGAAGTTCTCTTTCATGAATGTCTGTATTGAGATGTGATAAGAAATGTGGTGAATGTACTGCTGGCTGATGGAGAGGCAGCCTTATAAGAATGTCCACCTTATTAACTTTTTCTTTGCGGAACTGGGTATTGAACGTGGGCCTTTGCGTTTGCCAGGCAAGCGCTTATTCTACTGAGCCATCTCCCGGCCCCCATGAATGTCCACCTTACTGATGGATTTCATGCTGTGCAAATCCTGGCTCTTCCCCAAAGTCAAAACGACCATGAAATCTAAATATTTGGAATTGATTTGTTCACTTGAGGCAGCCATATGAGTGCAGCTGAAGATACTCCACAAGGGTGGGATAAGTGTGTGCAAATTGAGAGTATTTATTTTGTGGAGGATTAATGGCAGTGTGTCCTTTACTGTAAGAAATGTTCAGTTTTAAAGAATTGCTGTAGTTTTTGATTATACCTCATATGTACTTTGCTTTGACATTGCCAAATTCTTTATGTGTCAGGTTATTTACATGTCACCAGTAATGTTTGTTAGTATCTGTGTATGAGCCTCACAAATAGTACACATTATTAAGTGTTTGGGTTTTTGCTAGCCTGATAGGAATACATACCCTCTTATTTTTCATGTAATGAGCATGGTTATGCATTTTTTTTAAGGGACAACTATCTCCACATATTTTACCAGTTTTCTATTGAGAACAGTTTCATTTTTTTATCTTTCTTATCTATCTATCTATCTATCTATCTATCTATCTATCTATCTATCTATTTTTGTGGTACCGAGGATTGAACTCAGGACCTTGTGCTTGCCAGGCAAGTGCTTATTCTACTGAGCTATCTCCCCAGCCTGAGAATAGTTTTAAACAAATGGTATTATAGATTTCAACTTGGACTTTTTAGAGCGGTAGGATTTTAGTGTCACTTCTAGGGTCACTGTAATTTCAAGTATAGATTAAACTTTTCATGGCAGCCTTTTTTGTCTTAAACGTCTCATTGCCAACATAATACTTGACGCCCACAAATTAAAGGATGAGGGATTTATTTTGTTTTTATTTTGTAGTATTGGAAATCGAACTCGGGACCTTGATTTCAAGGCAGACACTGTGCTGCTGAGCTAAACCCCTGGCCCAAGGAAGAGGGATTTGTTTTGGCTTGTAGTCTGTAGAGGTTTTAGTCCGTAGTTGATTGGCTCAAGAATGGTATGACAGGGCATGGTAGAGAAGAACAGCTCATGGTGGAGTGGGTAGGAAGCAGAGACACGGGGGATCCAGGACGGGCCATGCAGCCCTCGCGTGGTCTTATCCTCAGACCTACCTCTTCTGTTGGGGTTCCTCCTTTTGACAGAAAGTCAGCTAGAAAGTCAGCTAGAGTTTCTGTGTAATTTGGCACCTTCCAAAGGCCCTGTCCATGACAGTGTGAGGCTGTAGGGAGACATCTAGATATGTTACAGTGTTTCTCATTTCATATGTGTTTGGTATTAACATGGTCTGGTACTTTTTTAGAAGTGAGCTTTCAAACATTAAGTGTAAATTGTCTTTAAAATACTTGGGCCAGCGAGGTAGCTCAGTGGACTAAGCCCCTGCTTCGGCAAGTGCAAGGACCAGGGTTCCATCCTCGGTACCACAGGCCCCGCCGCCAGGCGTGGTGGCGCTTTCCTGTAATCCCAGTGCTGGCGAGGCTGAAAACAGGAGGTTTGCTATGAGTGTGAGCTGTGTAGTGAGACCCTGTACCAAATACATATTAAAAAATAAAAATGAAATACTTGAGTTTTTAAAAAACTCAACAGTGGGATTGGTAGGAAAACAAAATGGAGTAAGTTTCAGCATTAAGTTGATGCCTTCAGCATCTTTTTATTTATTAATTTTATGACAGGTAGATTAAAATATAATTCAACATTGATGTATTAAAGAAAACAAGTGTGAAAGAATGGATTTTATTTTATTTAGTACAGGGTCTATAGGGTTTCCTTATGTAGATCGGACTCGGAGTGATTCTCCTGTTTTTCAGCCTTCCAAGTGCTGGGATTACAGGCATGTGCCACCATGCCCAGTCTCCATTGCCACCTCAGCGCGGCACAGCATGCCGGGAATTGAACCCTGGCCGTTGTGCTCTGCCTAAGCAGGAAGAATGGAATTGTTTAAAGTTGTATTTTGCAAATGTTAATTTAAGGAAATTTTTTGTCTCAAGGATTATCTTCAACAGTCAAAACTCACGGTTTGGTGATAACATCTTTTCTGTGAAGTTTCAACAAGTTTTCATACAATAAATACAAATTTTTTTTCTTTAGGGAAAGGTCCTGGAAAAAGGAGAGGCCCAACAATCAAGATATCTGGAGTTCAGGTTAATGTTAAATCCATTATCCAACATGAAGAAGAGTTTGAGATGCTTCATAAATCTATCCCTGTGGACCCTGAAGAAAAAAAAAAGTGAGTGTATAGGTGCAGGGATGACGCAGGGTGGAGGTTATAGTTGCGTGTCATCGCTGTCTCTTCTTACAACATTAAAAGGCCCCTTGGTAATACTTTCTTGTCTTGAAACCTCCTTTACAGATACTGCCTAACCTGTCGGGTCAAAGCGGCACACTTTGATGTAGAGTGGGGTGTGGAGGAAGACTCTCGCCTGCTGCTGGGCATTTATGAGCATGGCTATGGAAACTGGGAGTTAATTAAGACAGACCCAGAGCTGAACCTGACTGACAAAGTAAGCAGCTCAGCCAGAGAGTTCTAGAAGATATACTGTTTTTATATTATTATTTATTTTTAACTCTTTCAAGAAGTGGGGGATCAGATTAGATATTATTATAATAGTAAATTCCTGGGAAGTGTTACCATCTTAGTGGACTGCAACACTTTTGTGGACAGTAAAGGGAATGACAGTAGCCAGGTGACATTTTGAGGTACTTCTAGGAAAAATCTTAATATTCTCATACTTCCTTTAGGTTAGATCTCATTACAACAAATACCAGGGTAAATTTATTTCTGGGCCTTAGTTTTTTGGCTGTTAGTTTAAAGTGTGTTTGAAACAGCTGCATTTCAGTTTTACACACAAAGAATGAGCATCACCTTGGTATTTTTGTAGTGGAATTACATTGTGCTTCTCCCAAAAAATTGAGCCTCCCACCCTATTTGTTGCAAGTAACAAGGCCGTGGTTAAAGCTTTAGGGAAAGCCGACTGACTCAAATTTAGTTGGATTCACTCCATGCTGTGCTCCTAGCAGGGCTCTCCCTGGCACGGCAGGCAGAGTGTGCTCATCCCATCTGGGTTGCAGGAGGGTGATAGCACCCTGCTGTGAGCTCTGAGCCCAAATCCAGTCTGGCCTGAGCAGTGTAGCTATGGTAGCAGGGAAATGCATCATGTCCTGGCGTAGCAGCTCAGTGCTCTCCGGCAATGCTCTAAGAAGCATTTTCAATCTAAAACGAAGCTTTAACCTAGCTCCAGGGATTCCCTGCTCCTGGAAGGAGGAAATCCACGCCGGCTGGGATGCTCTAGCAGATGAAGCCACAAGCCCCTCCTACCTGAGTTGTTCTACCCTGTTAACAGCACAGGTAGGAGCCAGTGGGAGAGCTGGATTTCTCCATCCCATTTTGTAAAATGAGAACGGCTCATGAGGGATTTTCAGTGACTGGGAAGCCATGGACATGAGAATAGGATCTGAGGCTTTATCTGTGTTTTGGGTGGTTGGGGAGGGAAAGGACTGTACTGAGCTCTTTGTTCTGCTCCACTAACCGGATGTGGGTGTTGCCGGGTGCTTCTCTCCTTTTCCTGTCGAAGATTCTGCCTGTGGAGACAGATAAAAAGCCCCAGGGGAAGCAGCTACAGAACCGAGCTGACTACTTGTTGAAGCTGCTCAGGAAGGGCCTGGAGAAGAAGGGGGCTGTGGCAGGCGGGGAGGAGGTGAGTTGCTGTATCTGGAGTTCTTCCTGGGCACAGCTCCACCCCTGCAGAGGTGGGGCGGAAGCGACGTCCTCTGTGGGCACTGCACACGGTGCTGCCCTACCGTGATTGGATACTCTGGAGGCTTAGGAGGCCCTGTAGCAGTGGCTTAGCTGGTAAGAGTAGAAGTACTCATTGAATAGTTAATCTTAGCACCTTGGCGACTTTCTTCCAAACCCCATTTTCTTCAAATATTGCTTCAAAATAATCTTCATCTCTCACTATTACCATTGGCCCAGATATACTGATACTTTTTCTGGCCTCCTCAGTTTGGGAACATGATTCCTTCCAGCTACTGCATTAGATACCAAAGGATTTGCCAGTTTGTTATGTTTATTTTATTTTATGTTATTTTGGGCAGAACCAGGGATTGAACTTAGGGCCTTGTGCTTGCCAGGCAAGCACTTATTCTACTGAGCTATCTCCCTGGCTACGTTGTCTCCTTTTATTTTTCCTATTTACTATTTCAGTTCAGGGCCAGAAAGATGAGTGTCACAGTTAGGAGACACTGCCCTGGCGTGTGGTTGGGCCCAAAGTGCTGTCAGGCTCTGTGTCATTTGTATTAGTCGCCTTGCATGGTAAGTCAAAGCAGTTTTCTTTTAAAAGGTCAGCACAATCACAGTCCTTGTTGTTTTTCAAGTAATAATGTCATAAGGATTTAGTATCATTCTCCAGAGAATGTAGTGAATGGGCTCTACATGTTAGGCTCTAGAAAGATAGACTGGATCATTTTATACTTATTTTAGATTACATTATATTATTATTTATTTATTTTTCTGTATTTAGGACAGGGTCTACATGGTCTTACTATGTTGCTCGGACTCTGAGCGATTCTCCTGTTTTTCAGCCTCCCAAGCGCTGGGGTTACAGCTGTGTGCCACCATGCTCAGGCTCCGTTGCCGTCTCAGCGCGGCACAGCACGCCGGGGATCGAACCCCAGCCGCTGCGCTCTGCCTAAGCAGGCGCTTTAGTCCGCTGCACTATTAGGCTGGCCCTTAGATTACATTATTATATTCAATTAAGCAATATTTAGATCTTTTCATTTATGTATGTATGTGTGTATGTATGTATGTATGTATGTTTCTTTTTTGAGACAGGGTCTCACTATGTAGTTTAGACTGGCCCTGAACTCATGCACCACGTAGCCCAAGCTGGTGTCAAACTCATGGCAGTACTTACTTCTGCCTCAGCCTCTCAAAGGCTGAGATTACAGGTGTGAGCCACCATGCCTGGTTTTTTCTTATTTTAGGATGTAGCATGTTTGTAGGTTTTACAGTTTGCCATCGTTAATGTTGTTTTTAATTGTATGTTTGTACATAGTGTTTTTTTTCTCCTGTTTTTGAATTTTAGCTTTAGGATGAGGTGGAGCTTAGGCTTTAGCGTGCATTTTAACTTCATTCATGCTACAACACAGTTAGGAAGTTCAGGGAATGCAAGTGTTTTCATGTGATTTAGATACAGATAGGCCCTCCGGGTGGTCTGCTGCATGGCGGCGCCCCGCCCCACCCGCTGCCAGTTAGATTTGGCTGTATTCTTAATTTCCCTGAATTTCTTGGTTTGAATTATATGGGGGCTAATCCTTGAGAGGGTCAAAGTAGTAAGTGGATGTTTGCTTTTGAAAAAGATCTGTATCTGTATTTTATCTTTTTTTTTCCAGGCCAAATTAAAGAAAAGGAAGCCTCGAGTAAAGAAGGAAAACAAAGCACCCAGGCTGAAAGATGAGCATGGAGTTGAGTTTTCATCTCCTAGGCACTCAGACAATCCATCCGAAGAGGGAGAAGTAAAGGTACAAGGCTGGGCCTCGTTTGAGGGTATTGCTGTTCTCTTTGTACCCTTTATTTGGCCCCCTGGTATAAAACCCCTTGATGTGTTCACATATACTGTGTTCATGTAAGTCCGCCATTTCAAATTCATACGTAGTGTCAGTAAGTACTGGAAACCATGAAAGTGTCTTAGTGATAAATGGCTGTTGACAGTTAGCTTCAATTTTGAGAATGAGGCAGTGGTAGGCGAATAGTGGTTAGCCAGAGAGCTCATGTCTAATAGAACAGGCAGCTACTAAACAGTTGATTAGGTCCAAATAAACGTTCTCTGTAGGTCAGGTTTGGCCCAAGGTCCACCAGGGTTTTTTGTTTCTGTTTTGAGACAGGGTTTTGCTATGTAGTTTACGCCGGTCTTGGGCTCCCTATGTAGCCCAGGCTGGCCTTGAAATTGTTTTATTCCTGCCTCAGACTCCCAAGTGCTGGGGCTACAGGTATGTGTCAGCACCCCTGGCTTCTACCAGTTTTTGACCTCAGGTCTGAGTTAAGCAAAAAGTAAGTTGGTGCCATTGAGTGTGTTATTTCAGTGAGATGCAACTTTATGGGATTTTGTTTTGTTGCTGTTAAAGTATAGCTGTACTTTGACATTGGTTTCAGGACGGTCAGTGTGGGAGGCTACAGGAACTAGCATGGATTTGAGTCTGTATATCTGAACTCAAATACTAGCGGCCTCATCATTCTAGATGACTGTGTGTAGAAATTCAGTCTGCTCAGCCTTGGTCTTTGTCTGTCTGTAAAGTGGGAATGGTAATGTCTTTTGGGTGGGGTGCTGTGCTGGGGCTCAAACGCAGGGCCTTGCACATGCTAGGCAAGTGCTGTGCCACTGAACTTTGCCTGCCCCTAGCTCCATAATAGCTGTCTTAAAGCGCTGCTGTGAGAACTGACAGGAGAGATGTAAATAAAGAACATCCACCTGAGCAGGCTTGATTGGTTCATGCCAGAGAGATGCAAATTGTGCAGGTGGTGCTGTAAGGTCCTGTGTTTGATTATAAGCTTCTAGATGCAGAATGAGCCGTTGGGGATAGTGCTACTTCTACAAAGTAAATAAGTAAATAGGTTTATAGCAAAAATTCACAGCTCTATTTGTTTCCTAGGATGATGGCTTAGAAAAAAGCCCAGTGAAGAAAAAACAGAAGAAAAAAGAGAACAAAGAGAACAAAGAGAAACAAACGAGTTCTAGGAAAGACAAAGAAGGGGACAAAGAAAGGAAGAAGTCCAAAGATAAGAAGGAGAAGGTATTGATGCTATTCTACTTTAAGAGATACCCAGGGGCTAGGAGTTCCTGTTGAGATTTAGACATAAAGTGGAGTTTGAATGCCTTGGTATAATTGTTCTGTGACTATACCCAAGAAAGAAGGATGGAGCTTTGGAGGGCTGCCTGCACCCTTCCTTACAGAGAGAAGAGAGGAATTTTTAAATTTTGTGGTATTTTTCACTGTGGAACTCATTAATTGATCTTCTACTACATGTGGGGGAGAGCTGTGGTTTTCAGTGTGAGATAGGACAGGTATGTGAATGTGCATACAGCTCTGAGAAATGTGTTGTTAGATTAATGTTAGAGGAGAAGGGTCTACAAATGAATGTGATTATTTAAAGGGCTTAGGATTCCAAGCCAACACTGCTAAGAATTACTGGAATAGACATAGATGAAAAGCCTTGGTGTTGTATAGTCTTTATGTTGGGAATCTTAGGAAATTCATTCCAACAACAGAATTCCTATAGGGTTACATGTTTGCTTGCTGGCATCTAAAAACAAATTTTGCAATTAACCTTAGCCTTTGCTCAGACAAACAAACATGTTGTATAATTCTCCCATCCAATAATAACTCTTGATTGCTTAATTGCCTTGGAACATTACTCTGAATGAGTTTAGGTACAAATAAAAAATTAAGATCAGACCATTTGGCTAGCCTTTTTTTCCTACTTAGCAGTTTATTATAAAAACTTTCTAAGTGAGTATTTAAAAATAATTTTAATCTTTCGGTGTAATATAACACAAGCAACATAAGTCTCCTGTATTGAGATTGCTTTCCAGTTTTTTTCTGTTTTTCTTTTTAATGTATTTGGTACAGCATCTCACTATGCAGATTGGCCTCAGGGTGATCCTCCGTTTTCAGCCTCCCAGTGCTGGGAATACAGGCATGCACCACCACGCCTGGACTCATGGTCTGCTCAGCGTGCCCGGGGGCAAGGCCTCCGCAGCCTGTGGTGCCAGGGATCAAATCCCAACCCCTGCACTTGCCTAAGAAGGCCCTTAATCCACTGAGCTATCTTGCTGGCTCCTGCTTTACAGTTTTTATTGTTATAAACCATAACTTTGCATTTATGATCCTATGAGAACACGTTTTTGCCAGACATATTGGCAGTCTAGAAGGGTAAAGCAGGAAGGTCCCAAGTTCACCCAGTCTGAGCAACTTAGGGACTCAGTGAGATACTGTCTCAACATAAAAAACACAAGCTGGGGATGTAGCTCAGTGCTGAGGCCCTAGGTTCAATCCCTAGTGCTTGCTTTGCACCTCACCTCGCCCTACCAAAATTCTTTTTTAGAATTAAAATATTTTAACAATAAATGCGCAAGAATAGTTTAACAAATATTTATTATTTACTGCTCCAGTATTAGAACCGTTTGCACTTTTCTGTTTGCTTCAGCTTGCTTTTTTGCTGCTTAACGTATATTGTATTTCATGAGCACATCGCTAACTCTGCTAAAGCTCTTTTCATTGCTGCTCTTCCCTGATGGCGTTACTGCCTCTCTTCCCATCTCCATCTGAAGATGGTGTGACACCTTCCTGTCTCTGGTTCATGATTGTAAATTCATAACCACCAAGTACTATATGCTTTATATGGTTTCAGATGTTCTTACATGCAGTCATTGTGTCATCTGCATCCTTTTCTTCTATGTAGTTTTAAAGTTTATCAATGTAAATTTCATTTATAATAATTACGTTAATACTACAAATTCCTAGATTAAGTGTAAGCTATCAATGAAAACAGCTAAATTGTGCACTGGAAACTCTGCACGTTTACCACTTAACTTCTGGGCGACATTTTCTGCCTTCTCTAGAAGAAAGAATAGAACCCTAAAGTAGTGTTGATGAAACTGAAATTACAGTTAGGTATATTTAGAGGCAGGAGTGGGAATAACGCATGAGTGAGCAGTTAACCTGGAGGCCTTTGCAGACTGAAGCTTTCGTGCTCGCCCTCTGTAGCCTCGTGACGTAGATGAGGAGTAGAGGTTGCAAGGCAGGGCCATGTAAGGGACAATGACTCCTTTAACTCTTTCTTTTTTTTTTTTTTTAAAGCCTAAAGGTGGTGATGCCAAATCATCAAATAAATCAAAGCGATCTCAGGGTCCTGTCCATATTACAGCAGGAAGTGAGCCTGTGCCCATTGGAGAGGATGAGGATGATGACCTCGACCAGGAGACCTTCAGCATCGTGAGTCTGAAAATTGGTTCCAGTTGGGAAGTGTGTTGGGAGCTCTGAGACGTTTTGCAATCAGTATTCAGTGAGCTGGTTTCTGGGTCAGCCTCCAGAGTTACCATGCTGAACAGAGGAAGACTCTGGCTTGCCATCTGAGCAGGGCTGGTAGCTAACTGTGTAAATGCCTGTGAAGAGGCTGTGGGGAAGGAGGTCTTGGGAGAAGTGGGGTGACCTAGTTGTAGGTGTCAGCAAGGCATACGGGAGTTATAGGAAAAGAGGGCAGGAAGGATAAGCTAAAGCTGGGCAGCAGCGTGTACAAGGGCTGTGTGGCAGGAGCACATACGGTACATTTGCGGTGACATAAGACTTCTACAGCGAGAGTGGCAAGAACTCTAGCTCTTGACACAGCGTCCTGGCTGTGTGTGTGAGAGCAGTGGTGAACATGTGCCAGTGCTGAGAGCTGAGACGTGCTTGCGAAATGTGGCTCTTATTTCCTTGCCAGTTCTGGAAGATGAGGGGAGAGGGCGCAGAGTCCAGGCCCTGGCTGGGCTAGTAGAAGACCCCGCAGCATGTCTTCAGGACCCCTTTGCCCTTTCCTGGAGCTGTGTGCATGGTTTTCATTGTGCTGGCATCCTGTTCCTCCTTTCCTTCCCCCTGTGTTCTCTCCAGCCCGAACTTCCTAAGATCTCAGTTCACTGGGCAGTGCTTTCAGGCTAAAGGCGTGTCTTCTTCTGAAATGGAAAGTGCTTATGCCTGTGGCACCAAACGCTTAAAGTTGGCCCTGTCCTGTGAGTTAGTCTTCTCTCTCTCCCAGCTTCCTCCTCTGTATTTTCTAAAACCTACATGCTGTGTATTTTCTTTCTTTGTGATTATCTCAGTTTTTGCAATTCTCTTTTCTGCCTAAGAGTTTTCTGAGGGCAAGTATTATGCTTTGTAGGTAGTTCATTTAGATGCTAGATGTCCATCTACCAGTAAGTGAATTGAGTAAGTGAATGAATTAGATTGCATGGCCAGCTGTCGGATCTGTTTCCCAGTTCCTCCTTAGCTCGTTGTTTATAGAAGAAAATAATACCTGATGTTTCTATGCCAGCATTTAAAAAATGTGTATCTATAAGCCAGGCACATCAGGATGCACACGTAGTCCCAGCTACTCAGGAAGCTACTGTAGGAGAATTGTGCTTGATACTTGAGCTCAGAAATTTGACAACCAGGGGCCGGGGAGATGGCTCAATGGAATAAGTGCTTTCCTGGCAAGCGCAAGGGCCTGAGTTCAATCCCCGGTTCTGCCAAGGAAGGAAGGGAGGGAGGGAAGGGAGGGAAGGGAAGGGAAGGGAGGAAGGAAAGAAATTTGAAGAACTTGTCTCAGTCAATCAATATAGGTTCATTAAACTTGTTTGTTTCTTTCAAAAACATAAATGTAAATAAACTTCAGGAATATAATAGGTGTTGGTATAGATATTGTGAAACTTTGGCACATCTGAAATTTTTATTACTTGGTATAAAGTTGAAACCTCTGGTATTTCTGATTCTAAGCCCATGTTTTTTCTTTCTTACCTCCCAGAAGTAACCATGATTCTAAATTGGGTCATTATGCTTGTATGTCACTTTAGAATTTTACTACATACCTCTGTTCAGCTGGTTATAGCTCACATAACCCTCCCAGGTGGTTTGTGTGCTTTAGGTGTACTCAGCAGTCAGGGAGGTGTCTGGGAGTCTGAGTCTTTAATCACTGTGCCGCACAGCCTCCCGTGCCTCCATAAACAACAGATAGTGCTGATTCTTACGTTTTAAAACCATGTATAAACAGTATACTGCTTGTAACCTGTAACTTGCTTCCTGCCCTATGCACGTTTTGAAGGTTAGCAAATTTATAATACTGACACCTGTGACTTAAATATTTTGTTACTCTATTTAATTGATCCTTATTTCTCTAGATGGACTTTGGAATTTTCTCAGTAATTATGAGCACAAATAGGCTGTAGTTTGCTTATTGCTGGTATTTTCTTGTGCACATTTGTATGCCGGCTCTGGAGGCTTCTGTACAAATGCCAGGCCAGCTGTACGGTACGCACACCTACCATTTTTTTTTCATAATTTTATTGATAAACAAATAGCAGTGAGACAGTTTCAAATCAAATCGCTAGGACAGTTTCAATAACTAACACACTGCATACATTCTTCTTAGTG